GCTGATATTTTTTATTCGATTAGTAAACCCCTAAGGTGTTTTTAGCCTTTTTTCGCTCGATTTTCTTCGAAGCTTTGTTGACTGTTTTCGGGGGTTACAATGTTCATTTCCACTGGATGAGTAGGCTTATTTATTTATGCTTTTAACATTAAGAAATTTTGATATATACATTTAGAAATTGTTTTGTTCGCGTTACATATACCTATACACTCTCACTCTATATGGAAATGTATTTGATGACTATGTTATAACAACTTTACCATTTTTCATTCGCACGTATTTGTGACCTAGATTTAGTGGATATATTAGTAGTAATAGAGCTATTATTCAATATATGTTAAAAATTGAATGAGAAATTTTAATATAACTTAGTAATTATAATATTTATTTCAATTGTTGATGTAGAACATCAACTATTAAAATAAATATTATATTGTGTTGAACACAAACATAATATCCATCACTAAGTAGATACGTTTATTGGACTAGTACATGCATTCCTGTAGATAATGGAAGATATTATACCAGATAGATTAAGTCTCGAGAGTAAGTAATATAATAATAGACAGAGTGTTATTTCAACCAAGGACACATAAACAATAAGGATAATATAATATCATGGTAGGTTATTAAAATAAGCAACTGAAAATACATATGGAATATATGTACTCATAAATTTATTCTAGAAGCTAAGGGGTCCACGACAATTATTATTTTATATATAATACATAGGTATATGAGGCATAAGTTTCTATTAATTAGTTTTAGGTAAGTATGTGAAATTTGTGTTTTGTCCACTTAATTGACGGCATAGACCACCAGATGGTACGTGATTTGGAGTTGTTCAAAAATTGTACTTCTCACCAATGAAGATTAATGACGTGCAGTACATAATTAATGTGCCCACCAACACACTCGTGGAAACAAACAGTAGCTGATTAAATTCGAATTCTTAGTAAAACCATAGTCGCGCGACCCTCTTTCCTCAAACCACGATACTTACACACTCGATTTGTGTCGTACAGGGGCGCGGGGGTGGAGATGAGAGGAAACTTTTTGATGGATCGGACGGAGTTTGTTTTGCATGTGAGTGATATGTCTGAAATAATAAATGTTGAGGCGTCGACGCTTCCCCGACTCCCTCCCGAGGGTGAGCTAAAACGATTTTTGATTTGGGTGTCAAGCAAATGTTTTACGCAGTGACGCTCCGCCAGGATTTGATTTTCTTAATCGATTCTTGAATGCAAATCTGGGAATTAGTTTCTAGTTCGTTATTCACCGATTTCAAAAATGGAGATGGTATCTTCAGATAAACTGTAGTTTTTATGGATTTTATATCTTATGCAATACTGATTATGAGTAGGTACTTTTATTATTTTAAAAAATATATCTCCTATACGTATTCTATACAAATTTTGTTATGATACAAATAAGAATTGAAAACTAACTTATACTGGTGGAATTATATCTGTTAGGCATTTCTTCCAGGCCTAACCTTTTGAAAACTAATAGGAATATGTGACGGGGTAAAAAAACCTATTTAGACTAATGAAATATAATTATTACATGTTTATAAATTATAATCTATGAAATTATTAAAGATGCACTGTAAATTAGAAGCTGGAATTAACACAGTAGTTTTAGGGCACCACGCTTACGTAAATTGACTATACTATTACCATGAGCTTTGTTTAATACTTACGGTAATCAGATTATGCATACAAGAACGGTTCGGAACGTTCGCCACTGCGGCATTAGGTTATGTGAACGGTTCAGTATTAACTAATCAGCGTACATTGGCTTTGGTAGTATATTGGAACGCATTGTCCGCGCTCGTGGCCCCGGAATATCTGTTTAGGCCAGTGGCCATTCTGTAATGGCAATGATCAACGTTAACTTATAGTGAGTATACGTTAACGCTACGGCGTAGATGTCAAATTCCGTATATTTATACATCAATATTGTTTGCGATTAGCGTATCTACCAAAAGTTCTTGATTCGATTGCATTTTTTTGTGTGATATAATAGTAGAGTTTACTCCCATAATGGGTTCATATTAATTGAAATTAGTTTTTTTGTTTAAGCATTTGGCATCAAATAATATATTGATCTCATCAGTACAATGATAACATGACAACGCACACTCTCTGTCTCTCTCTCATAAAAGAATTATATTATAATATGTAAGTCTATATAGCCACCGGTAACGTGCTGGTGAAGTAATATACGGTGTTTGCTTGTTTAACGTCTCTGTAAGTCACTATTTACTTATATTATATCTTGTTATGAGATTTCTTCCAATATCTTTTTTCTAATAAGAATGTAGAGTGACTTTAAACTCGTCTTTAATGTTTTCTGTACTGACTGTACCTGACATACTCTGTGAAGATATTGTACTGTTCATTATTCTGTGACGATCCACTAAAAATTGTATTTATATCTATAGGCTTTATATCTATCTATAGTCGTACTTATTTAATTTTCTCTTTGATAAATAATTACAAATTTACAAGTCATCCCTCAAATTTTGTTTTTATTTTTGCACTCGGCCCTCTGTGGAGATTCGTCGTCAATTTTCTTTTTGACAAGCGAATGAATAATATTATTTGCTTCTGACTTCAGTCTGTGTTGGTTGATGTTGACAGGTTTTTGGGGCGGTATTAAGTGTAACACGTTGGTTAGCGTTTTCTTTTAATATCTATTTTATTTATGAATAGTCATATGTCATTGATAACTTTTTGTAACACAATTATTGAATATGGAACTACTGTGCATTAGGGTAAAATGTAAACTTCAGGCGATTAGTCGTGAAAAGGTGATGAGCAGACCTATTAGTATGTGTATTGTGTATTTAATAACAACTATATGCAGGGACATGTTTTTCTAATAAGACAAGAATCATGAAAAAAATGAAAGTATTATTATATAATACAATAATAATTTCTCTGTATACTTTAAATGCAATATTATTTCAGAATAACAAAAATCTACAAAAAAGTATTTTATTAATGAGCATCTAAGTCTAAGGACTATGCTCATTAATAATATACTTTAGATATTAGATGCGGACAATGATTATTTTTGTTATACCAAATACAATATTCATTGATCAGGAATTGTTTTTTTCTGTTGTTAAGAGTTTTGGTGCATCATCAATCACAACAACACTTTTTCGAGATAAAAGAGAACAGAGGAAGTAGTGATAATTTATTATTTCATTGATTTGTCTGTTATCTTTTGTCCGATCGGGTGTTGGTGATTCCATCATTATTGGAGTCGTAGAGGATGTGACTTGTTAATATGATTATTAACAAAAAATAAACGGCCCATCCATCGCCGTGAATACTATAACGAGTTTGACAATTATTGTAGTAAATAATTATAACTTACTAGCTGTTACCCGCGTCTTTGACTGTTTTGAGAAAAAGACCATCAAATTTAATTAAAATACTGCCGTTAAAGGTAATAATATGACAAGCAGGTCTATACGCTGTAGATTTTATAATATTAGTATGGATAACTTTAACGTTACATTATACCTTTATATTTTTTTATTATTCCTTTTAATTCTATTATTATATACCGTAAAAATATAAATACAATTATTAAAGTTATTTAAAAAGAATATCAAGTCTATTAAACTGCTAAACCTGGATTCGCACGATCAAAAGATTCCTAAAGGTACAAAGAATTATTTACATATTAATGGTGGCGGAAATGAAAAATATATTAAATTCAAACGGAGTTCCGTGACTCGTCAGTAAAGTACCAAACGACTACATTTCGAGGGTTCCAGCGCAGAGTAGCCTAGAATACAGAGACTGCATTCATACCTCCATATCTTTAAATGGATTCAATAAAAACACTCTTGTTATTTTGCTCACATATTATAAAACTAACTAAATTAAATTATGTATAAATATAAGTAATTGTAGTAACAAAACAATAGTTTCGCTAGTATTTTAAAAAAAAGCAATTACTCAATATTGAAAGTGGTCCATGTATCTGCACTACACTAGCTGAAAGAAATAATGTCAATGGTCAGTTATAATAGCGTAAGTGACTACTTGTACGTAATGCCCTTAAAAGATAATTTGGAGATAATAAATTTGATTTAATAGATTATTTACGCTCTCTGATTTATGTTTTGATATTCAAAAGCTATATGAATATAAGCCGCATATATGAGATATATGTAATATAAGCTTGTGCTTCTACATTATTAACACAAAAAATAGGTACTTTCTTGTACATTTTATTTCCGCATTGCTCTGTAATCCACAAAAGGGTTCCGCGACGGCTTAAAACAGCCACTTATTATGTATGTTACATTTCACTTTCAGACGTCATTTATATTCAAATGCTCAAAAGGCATTACTGTGCAAAAATGGTAACATTAACTTCTTTGAAATTGGTTTCAAGCGTTGTAATATTTTTTTTATTTATATCTAGATTTTTTTATATCTAGCTATGGTATTTATACATATGAGTATACTTGCCCATATATTAAATAAAAGTTTTAATTAATATCGAATCGAATCAAAGTTAAGTAACCTGAATGTTAAAGGTGTAACGAATTGAAGATCTCTCGTTAAAGTCCATCTATATTAAATCGAAAAAAGTTAATAAGTAAATATTAATAAAAACGAATACAAACGGAAGCATCAGAAGTCTAATAATTCACAATCAAAAGGAGTTACGGAATTAGGGTAGCGGAACGGGAGATCGGTATACAAAATGATTGCATACAGCGTCTTCATCCGCTCACAAAGAAGCCCAGCGGGGTTCCACAATATTATACTTCTGCCTTTGTGGTAGCGCCAGCACGCAGTGGGATATATGCTTTATGGTTTCAAATGATAAAACTGTTTGTCAGTTACTTTGTTCGGATTCATTTGGTAGTGCGTGACCGATGCATTCTTATTTTTGATGTTAACAAGATATTGACAGTTTGTACGTTATTGTTAGTTTTGATTAATCGGAGCCTATTTTTGTTTTAGACTGCGCGATGAAAGAGGAGATATGGAACGAGTGATGGCAATGGATAAAGCTCGCGAGGGATCACATAATGGTAAGAGATTAAATTACTTACACTTTCTATATTATATTACCACAAGGTCATGTAATTTATAAATAAATAGACTTGTTATAATTTAGTTAACTAGTATTGTACAATCAGATTTTTCTTATAGATCGTAACATCAAGGACAGTGAAAATTATACCTGGGGACACAATTTCAATTTCATATGCGCTGGCAGAATAGGTGGGTAACATTGCACTATATTCTAATGTCTTATGTATTTTTTATTAATTTAATAACGTAGCTCACAACAGCTCAAATGAGAGAATAGGTATATACTGTACTAAATCATTATTTTTGATATATTAGCTGCCTTTTGAAGTGATGAAATATATAGCTGTTGTGGTAAACAAATAATTTTAAATTCTAATACCAAATTAAAATGTTCCTCACAAAATACTATAGACTACTCTTTACAAGTTCTTGTTTCGTAATTTGCAATCTATTTTGGGCTACTAGAAGATGGCCAAATTAACTTTACTACGTAGAATCTGATTGATTTTGACTTTCTTTTACAAATTGTTAATATACAGATGTTGATTATAAATCCTGAAAGTCATCACATTTATAATACTTATTTAAAGCCAGTTGTAATGTTATGTATTGAAATAGGAATGAGTTATATATATTAGCACATATATATACACACACACATATATACATGTAACGTGAATTATGAAAATGTAGACTAGAAAAGGCCGGTTTAAATTACTTTTTTGAGTCTATTATAATAAATAACTCAGGACAATTCACACGCACCATCTAGTACCAAACTAAGCAGAGTGTTTCACTGTGGGAACTAAACGATAAAAATACTTAAAGATTTTTTTTATAATCTGTCTAAAACTCTATTAATTTAAGTTTTTATTTCCAGGTTCATCCCCTGGTCACAGTCCTGTGCTCAATTTATCGAAGTCGGGGTCTGGCGATCGTGACCGGTCTGATCGGGGTGACCGGGATCGCGGCGACCGAGGCGAAGGTTCTGCCAGCGGTCGAAGCTCTGCCGCATCCCGGCGTACCCCTCAACCTCCCAGGCTTCCGTCAGCTGCCACGGCAGCCGCTTCGCCGAGATCACATACTGATGAGAGCGACGCGGCGCTCTCTGATCAAGAAGACCACAATGTTAAAGATGAAGATGACGGTAGGTTCTTTAAAAGTATACTTATTATGAAATAATTATAGAGATTTGTAACTATAATCCCGTTTGGCACTTGTAGTTCTATTGTTAAAAGCTTGAGTATAACCTTTTGTAATAGATTTCTATCTGGACTAGTGAATAACAAAAGGTACTAAGACACTATATATTTATTTATCCATCCGAAACAGTATAAACTGTGTAGGATAACATACAAAATCTACCTATAACATAATAGTAACTCAAACATAATTTTTATTATGTTAGCAAGTCAGCAACCATACCGCTGAACTTTCTATATATCCATTATTATTTTCCAGCAAGTGAATTACTAATATTTAAATAATTCTAATGCAGTACCTATATGTATAATAAAAAAATACTATATATAGTCACACACCTACTTATTAGGTCCATTATAAATACAAATATTTCAAAATATTTATTATAAACTTACGAAAAATATATAAAAACCTAATGTATCTTACAAATCCTAAAAGCTCAATTACAAGCTAAAATATTATATAAGGTCACGTGAGCGCTTCGCCCACCGGAACCAATTATTAACGGCGTGCACCGCGAAGTTTAATTCAGTTTCGCATAAATGTCGACTCGATATTAATGAGTAATTTTCTCTCTTTCCGATGTAATCACAGCTAGGCATGACAGCAAAGTGTCCGTGCAGGATTAACACAGCTAGTGGTATCACCCGTTCAATATACTCGGCATGTAATGCACGGCAAAATTACCCAGTAATAGCTCTGGAACCTTCAGCATTCATAGTTCGAAAATTATCAGCCATAAAACCGCGTTCCTTTTATTCTAGAAACTGGAAACACTTATTATTATAATAAGTGTAAAATGGCTACCACTCAATACATTGTAAGTGGACATTCGACGTTAATTACTTTACAACGGAACATTACACTCGAATGAATTAATATATTAGGTTGTAAACAAATAAATGTATTTCCTGCTTACTCTTGCTTATTGCCAACTTAGAAATTAATGATATATGATAAATAGCCATAGCACACTATTCGAAAAACGATTAGCAAATGATCACACGACCGTGTTTGTAATTTCCATAGATTTTCTAACTTGATCCCGAGACACAACACGTTTACTTGTAATGTTCCATGTAATAAAACATTATTATGTCGCCTCTATTGCTTTTAGTTCATATGAAAGTTTCATATTATTAATTTATAGTTAAGAAACTTCTCTCTTTTCTATAATAAATAACTATAACTTTTTATTAGCTAGAGGAAAGTTCTAACTATTAACTCTATTAAATAAGCCATATCCATCATAATGGATGGCATGACAATTTACCCGGTCACAATTATACTCCAAATATCCACAGCTATTTGTTCATTAGATCTATTATTGTATACAATATTTTAATCTATTTAATTTCGTAAATCAAATAAAAGATTGGTAGACGCATATTGTTACATCACTAAATTACCTTACTATATAAAATTAAATGTTATTATTAGATAGCTTCCATTTAAACTTATTTATTATTAACATGCCGTTTGCCAAGTAGTGAGACACTGATTAGGCTTTAATAATATCCGGTTACAATGATATATCAAATGAATGTTTACAAATAGTCATTCATATTTAATGCTTACGAATAAATATAATTGAAATTGTAGGAAAGGTATATCAAAAAGCATAGAGTCGATTTTATAATAACTAGAATACAGTTTATTAACTTTTCGAGTGTTTAGCAAAAGATGTTCTGAAGTGATTAGAAAGTCATTAATGATAGTTCGCGATAGAGACGACGACGCTACTCAAAACAAGCAACCAGAAATGTAAATAATCGTAGCGTACAATAGCTAAATTAAGCGAAACAATAAGGATTGTGTACTGTAGTTAATGCTGGTTCAGTATATACATAATGCTCCTAGAGCGTGGGAACGTATACTTGCCAACAATTTTATAGAAAATGTTCTCTTAACCACGAATTTGTGGGATGAGCACACGTTATGACGAATCGAGTAATCGGATAAATTTACTTGAAATATCAGAACAATCATAAATGACTTTTTAGCTTCAAAATTACATTTATGTTTTTAAATACGTATTATATACACGATTAATTCGGCCAATCACGCTCATCACGATCAGTCCATTCAACTATAAAATACTTTTTGTTTATAATGTCATTCAACTTTGATCTTTGTCAGTCTGGCATTGCCTATTTCTTTCAATCATGTATAGTCTGAAATTATTACTAATCCGTAAAGTCTTCAATTGTATTGAGGGAAACAATCAAATCTCTGTCCTTGGTATGTGGAAGAGAGTTTAATTTTGACTGTGACCACATTATAGGATCCTGTTAATTGGCCTTATTAGAAAGATGGTGTTGTGACAACCCAAGAGTGCTATCGTGCGCATCGACAATGACGAAACGATGTTGTCTTCATTATTTGATGAGCGTTCACTATCTTGTCAGTTAAATTAAATGTATCGATAGATTATTTTAGACCGTGAGAGACGTCAATCGAAACACTTTCTTTTTTATGTGTGAGGTCTGTTTTTGACATAACGTGTTGGTACATTATTGTAATTATCACGTCAAATTGTGAAATAATAAAATGTACTTTTAAGTTTCATCAAAGTCATTAAATTAACAGTTAATATTTATTGGTCATTATATTAAAGTGCTGCAGTATAATTTATTTATGTGTATTTTTCCGGACGAATACTCTTCTTTAATGTCATCTAGGTAATTATAAATAATCGATGTGAAACATTGGAGTCGCAGTTCAGTCCCAGTTGTGGTTTCGCAAAAGGAGCGACTTGTTCGATAGTGCAGCGAGGCATATAAATCGGTTAGAGACAGCCCATTCGATGTCGACTGCCTTATGTCCTTATTCTGCTGAATGACATACTTCGTATGATTAAAAACGTAGTTTATGGTAATAATTATTGCATCTAAAATAAAAAAGTAGACCCAAAAATAATAATGCACGAACACAAATAAGCAAAATGTAATTGCTATCTACTTATACAAATTGTAATTAGTATTATAATTATCGTGATATGTTATAATAGCCATAATAATGTATATAAGATCTACTCTCATACTCGTATTTGGATTTGCTCGTATAGTTACAGACTCGCTAAAAATCTTTATTCGTTATGACGTTACATTGCGGAAAGACGAATGTAAACATGACTAAAGTGAATATAAATAATTATAAATTCCACTTGATCCACAATTATTTATGTCTAATCTGAGTACTGTCAATTTTCCTTTTACTATGACGGCGAAGTGTCTGTTCGTGAAATATTTGTGATTATTCAAATTCCTTCTAACGTTATAGGTTTCGAACAAAATTATAATTTTTTACGCGCAAACAATATATATTACATATAATATAATATGATATACTCGCCAATTATTTCAATAACTATGCATATAATCTTATTCTATTGTAAAAAAACTGTTGTAGGGTCAGCATTACTATTATTTACCAATTTAACAATGGGTATTAGAAGATATTTCTAAACAATCATTTTAGAAATGCAATTTGTTTTGGGAATATAATATGACATACTAGCCAATTATTTCAATAACTATGCATATAATCTTATTATATTGTAAAAAAAAAACTGTTGTAGGGTCAGCATTACTATTATTTACCAATTTAACAATTGGTATTAGAAGATATTTCTAAACAATCATTTTAGAAATGCAATTTGTTTTGGGAATACAGTTAAACATTCTTATTATATATTAGTTACAGATTATATATTACATGCATTACATATTATTTTTGACAATAAATAATATGGTGAAATCAAAAGCTTTATTTAAATGTTTTATTTAATTAATGATTTAATACGTAATATATTAAATTTTTGAAATGTTGTTAACGTTTCTATTATAATGGTGAATATCTGGAATAGGCAGCCGTATTCGATGAACTCCATCAAAGCACTACGCCGATGATCACCACGCGATATCGATGTTCATCGCTACAATAATTGCGATACGAATGATACACGCACGCGATTCTCGAATATCGATGTTTGTCGGTGTCGCATGCTTTTTGGTTTTATACACACATTCCATTTAGGGCTTCTTATGAAGCAGTTATTGCCACTAATGATTTATTGTAACAAGCATGCCTTATATGAATATTTAATAATATTAAAACTTGCGTCATCATTTTCCGGAATATGTCCTTAAAGTTTAATGACAATAATACCTGAAATTAATACTTCAAAGCTATTCTACTAACTTATAAATAGGCTGTATTGACATTTTGTCCAACTTCCTATTTCTATTTCTGTCGTCAAGCAGATGTTTCCGTGTGACGAGTAAAGAAGTGAATTTCAGGGTACGCAGGCATGATACCTTAGTAGTTCTTAAGGAGATCAATGCATACGTATATTTCCTAATATCCATATTTAATGACGTCTATATCTTACGGTTACTCATTTTCTGTCAGGTAGTCGAAACGCTTTATATTACGCTATTAATAATATCTTTAAGTATAAGTATTTAAAAAAAATACTCTACTTATTTAACATATCTGATTAATGTAGCAACAAAAAGATCAATTTTTTTTTGTTTTTTTGATCATGTTTATGTTTTTTACGTTAGTTTGTATCAAATATTATCGTGTTTTTTCTACGAGTATATACTGAATTAGATTGTTATATGTATGTATGTTTTATTTATTAAAATTTAAGATTATATGTTAACACCACTAATAGTGGAAATGATCAGAAATAAGTAGGTATATATTTTTTATTATATTAAATGTGGTTAGCGTTTTTTCGGGTATTAGTTAATTAGGGTGAAATTTTTCCAGGTGCAGATCTCAGCGATGGTGAACGCGAGCTACCCTCAGCTAACTCTCCAGCGCCAGTCAGTTATGCTGCAACCACAGGAACCCCACCAGCTGTACAGGTCGACCCTAGTGCGGACACGCTGGTTTCCTCGACTGAAACCTTGCTTAGAAATATACAAGGACTCCTTAAGGTCGCGGCTGACAATGCAAGACAGCAGGAGAGACAGATTAGTTATGAAAAAGGTAAGAATTATTTTTGCAACTCCTACTTTTAAGATAATAGCAAAAATTTATAAAGGGATATAGATAAATTGTTACCCTTTCATGTAAAAATAATAACGCAAAAGCCAAATTTTACTTGATACCATTTGAAGTTGTAGAGTCAATTTAGAAATAATGATGGCGATGTCTAGAAAATGCTATTTTATAATTTAATCATAAAATTACACGGAACCAGAAAAATTACGTCCACTTTCTCAGAAACATGTGGATGCCGTTACTGAATTAACATGTGAAATTATCACAGATTATGGATATGGAGACACTGTATGCTGGAAGCCTTGTCAATGTAAATGTTATAATCGATATTAGTCAAGAACTTGCATGAATCGATTCTGCGTACTCGGACGTATAGGTAACATTGATTAGCTACTCTCAGCATTTAAGATCATATACTTATATAGGTATATTGTATGTTCCCGTATCCAGTATATTTATAACGACACTAGTTTCATTTGCATCACATTACGTTTATTGCGTTATTACGCAAAATTATTAAAATTAGAATTAGTCGGTAAATAGCAGTTTTGATGTAATAATTCTTTATGGTCAATCTTAGTATGTGAATAAACGCTTGAAGCAGTACTGTCAATATTCATAGTTTATACAAATTGCTTAAAATATTAGCTATTAGGTACTCATATAAACGTATCTATTAAATGCGTGGTTACTTGCTATATTTATAGTCAATACCATATTCGTAGTATTTGAGCTTTAAGTACGGAAAGTAAATACCAAATATTGAGACCCTAGTAATAGATTACTACCTAGTCATAAGCCAACGTCAAAGCTAGGGCTCCGGAGACAGGCAATACAGTGCGAGTTCGCCGTGCGTCGTGCCTTTGCAAATAGCCGTAGAACAGATGCGCCTGAGTTATAGCCCAACCCACTATCATTACACACGATTCCATTCGGACAGCATAATTGTTTAATTGATATTTCTGCGAGTTATTTATTCACGTCATTTCATTTTACCCATGAGAAATATCTTGGTGCACTATGGATGCCATGTTCTCAGCGACTCGGAAACGTTGACTTGTACAAATGCAATAATAACACGTACTCATTCTATAACTCATTGTATTTATCAACCACTTTCAGATAATATAAATTTCATAGAACACATAATATAATCTTCCCTCCCCTTACTTAAACAAAAGAAAAGAAATGTAAATGTTATAAAACTCATAAAAAAACATAGATCGAAAAGAAAACTCAAGTCCCGAGTCATCATCAGACTTGAATATCAATATTGCGCCTCCAGCCAATTGTATTAATAAACAAAACAAAATGAGAAATAATAATGCTATAGGCTAACAAAAGGTTCCATCTCCCCCCCAACATGTAAGCAAACGCCAGGGGAAAAGCTCTCTAAATAGAACGCATTAAGAATGAAATTCATTTATAAATGAAACCCGTAATTTTGTTATTACGATAATAAAATTATTGTTGATGAAACATTTTTTCGAATCGATGTGTCTGGTGAACATTACCGTTGATTTTTTTATAGAAATTACAGCAATCACTCGCTGGATTCGCCTCGGCTCAATTGATAGGTGTTACAGTGCATGTGTTGTATTTTATTTCTTTGATCCGATTCGCTCATGTATAAATAAATTTATATATAAAAGAGCATTATAAACAATTTATGAGGTATTTTTAATTTTACATATTTATATATCCACATTTAGAACTTTTATATTTGTTGCTTGTGTTGTTTTTGTGAAAACTTCAAATTTTGTACTAGTTACCCTGTAACTAGTACAAAGTTGTTATTCTGAATATTATATTATACTATTTTTTAAAATATAAATACATATTTATGAAACTGGAATAATAATTATGTATCTGTTTATGGAAAGCTAAGAATAGGTATGTTCTTAACCTTTAACCCATTAGGCATTCTCCTTAGATTTAGATTCTATTCTATTTAGAGTTTCGATTTTGTAATGCTATAATAGTTCATCATTACGATTTTTTATTAATAAGTTTCTCTAATATTACATTTTACAAGAACTTATTTTAAGGTTAATATATTTCTATATGACCCATGTTTTTAAATATTAAATGTGAATATTTGTTGAAAATTGGTTATTGGTTTCGAAAATTAACATATAATACTCGACGAGTGACATCGTTTTAAAAGCATTAAAATATAATATACGTGCATTTTTAACAATAGTTGTCTCTGACTGAGGTATTTTACGCAGTAATATATCTCTAGATGTTTATGTAAACATTGAACCCGTCCCCTCTGTGGGTGACAAAATAGCAGATTACTATCTAGGCACATTCGCTGACAATTTTTACACTACTATAGAGTGGGTGACGTACAGACAAATGTGTCCTGCATTCACTGCGTTATCAGATAACCACGGGAAGGGTTCACTGAAAGCCTTGCCATAACACGCTGTCGATTTGTACGTGTGAATATAAGTAGTAGTGGCAATGAATAGGAAATGATCTGATATTGTAGCTAGTCATATCTTACGTACTTTACGTATTCTTTAGATTTTATTTGTTCACTCCCGGAGATGAGAATTATTAAGCCCGAACACCTGACTAAATATAATAATTCAGCCTTGAGAGGAAAAAATAAGCAGGATAATTTTGTCTTTATACTATTCTTAACGCACTGTATACTTTTAATATAAACTGGGTATTGTAATGTATTTTTAAATTAATAAATTAAGTAGTTATTTGCAAACCCCCAAAAATGTGGCAATAGAATATATTGATAACGAATCGATCGCTACTACATGCATAGCATGAAATGAGATAACAACGTCCGGCATTCAGTTCTTTCTTTTTCGTTCCGTAGTGCAATGTTTCTACTTTGTAAATAAATTAGGGCTATATTTACACACTAACCTGCTTATTAGCTAATCTCCAGATATTAAAACTAATAACCTTCTATCTTATTCATTTACAAGAAACGCGTTACAATTTCTGCACTACCATATGCAAATGATGATTTCAAACCATATCCAAATGATGATTTCGAATTCATATCCAAATGTGAATTAGATAAATCAACTTAAAACTCAAGGTATAGTGTTCGACACAACACATCGAGGAATTCCTTTATCAATCAAAAAAATAAAAGGCTTGTTACACGGAGAATCGGGTCGATTGCGATCATCGCGACATAAATCTGCTTCGGCTACTCTTTTAAGCTTTTATCCTGTTAATTCTTACCGCTTAGTTTATTTACGAACGAAATGGCCCGCTCTTGTTACCGCGGTTTTGTTGCTCTTTTGTCTTACAACTATCAGTTTTTGTTAAGCTAAGTGCTGGTCAATGGACAAATGGCATGGGGGTAGATACACTAAGAGTTTTTTATGGCTTTGCATTGTAAAGAACTTGCGATATTGATGCAGAAAAAATTAAATCATCTAGTAACTATATGTATAATAGCGTTATTTTTGAAATATTATAACAATCTTAACATTATAAATTAATAATATTTCTAAAATTTATTATTAATACTCATGTTCCCAATAATGTACAATCTAAGTAAATAGATTGCATTCTAACATCAGTATTATGTCTTATCAACATAAATTCTAATTCAAACAATATAGACATAAAAATGCCCAAAAAGGCCTACCTATTGAAGTACTAGCAAACATAATTACATTGTCCTCTTCAAATATGCAGAGCTCTATTATCACAGACATAAAATTCAGTTTCGTGAAAACCTGGAAAACGACAAGCTCCCGTATTGGAAACATACCATCAATAATGTGGAAATGACCGATCGGACAAACATACTGGCCAATGATAAAAACTGACAACAAATACACAGGACATGTGTACTCAGCTAATGGATTCAATTGATATGAAAGCTTTTACAATGCTGACGATGTGAACATTATCGAGCTGAAACTAAATTACACTGTTTCGCATATGCTAAATCAATGAATAAAGATAAAATCCGTTTAGTCTGATTATGTGGATGAGTGATTAATAGGATTTTGTTGGATGACGGTCGATTTATAGATACGGCAATGTAGTTACCTCTTTATGTCAGCACGCCGACAAAACTGTGCCTCTGTATCACCATCGTTTTAATAATATACCTATTTGTCGATATACTATACGACAAAGTCCCATTTTAAGGCACGGGTTGTCCGTATTATGTAGAGAATAATTTAAAGACTACTATACCAAACTAGTAAAGTGTAAAGTTTACTGAAATCATAATTATAAGCTACATATTTATTCCAATATCTTTGTATAGTCGTAGTCAGTGCAACATTTTGGATGTTCGTATTCAAATTGTTGCAACTTTGGTACACGTTCGAATGGCGTCAACACTGCCTTGAGTAAAATCCACATAATATCAGCATATTATGGGGATTTTAATGACAAATTTTTGTTAATGAAGCTAATTCTAAATAGTTCAATAAATTCTGTCCATTAAAACCTGCAATATATCTTTAAGCAATATCATTTATGAATAGGATTTGTACCGTCCATCACGAAGCCTGTAACTGGCGAGAGCTAGCTCCCACAGTGCAAACAACCGCCCCCAGCGCCTAACGAGCCACCGCGAGATGCGCCCGCGCAGATACACCAACGACGCATTGTTGCCGCCCCGCGCCAGCTTTCGCACCATTGTGCAACATCGAGGTGTGCCACAAAAATCGGCAACTTCAATCTTGTTTGTTTACTTCACTGTCCAGTTGAATTATGGGATCTTTATTAAAGGATTTGTGAGGTTATCGCGTAGTGGTTTAACTCTACGTCGATTCGGTTACAATGTTACACTTTTATTACATTCCTTTATGAAATATATTCACAAAGTTGCATTTTACTCTTGGTACAGTTTTGTATGGCTTTCTCGGGAACGTATTACCATTTTTAAGTACTTTGTAAACAGTGCTATGAATTACTGCTTCATTGAAATGGAAAAACACAAAAAAGTTAAAGATTTTTGTCTGATTATTGATGCAATTTCT